TAGTTATATATTTTAAAAGTCAAAACTCTTAATAGTGTAATAAAACATGACACACTGCTGCCACTAACCAAACCTTTACCTTAGGGGTTCTCAAACTGGGGGTTGGGACCCCTCAGGGGGTTGCGAGCTGTCAACCTCCACCCCAAACCCCGCTTGCCTCCAGCATTTATAATGGTGTTTAAATATATAAAAAAGTGTGTTTAGTTTATTGGGGGGGGTCGCACTCAGAGGCTTGCTGTGTGAAAGGGGTCACCAGTAAAAAAAGTTTGAGCCCCACCGCCTTACCTGGAGTAAAATCTCATGCCCTTTGCTATCATGCATACTCATCACCTACATTATAAAATTATACTATTTTTCTCAATAAAATATCCAGATATACTGCTGAGCTATATCAGAAAGAGGTAAATATACTTGTCAGATGTTACTCTATTTCTTCAGTTTTTAAACTCCCCCACAGTGATTAACTTAGTTACAACACCATTGCATGTAATTACGTTGGTCCCAGGATATTAGAGACACAAGGTGGATGAGGTAATATCTTTTATTGGACTAACTTCTGTTGGCGAGAGATAAGCTTTTGACCTTACTCAGAGCTGAAAAGTCAAGCCTGGGAGCTTAAATTGATAACTTTGTTAGACATTAAAAATCATGGACTGAATAGACACTGGATTTATGGCTTATTGCAACAATCTGTAACCCACCAACAGCCCTTTGGGCCCCGTGTGTTCTCTCTTCCCCCCCCCCCACCTCCCCCCTTCGACAGGAGTGGAGGGATGTTAAGGGGCCACTTCACCTTGAATGGTCCCTCGAAATATGGATTAACTAGCTATGCTAAACAATCTGTTCACATTTTGTATTTAGCAGTGACACTTCAGGTCAGTTTTCCAGAGCTGAAGAGCTCTGTGTGAGCTCCAAACGTTGTCTCTCTCTCCAATAGAAGTTGGTCCAATAAATCTATTACCTCACCCACCTTGTCTTTCTAACTTAATTATACACTCTTCAGTAAACTACATACTGTTGAAAAACTGTTACTCACTGGCTGTGCATTTGTGCCATATATTTGCACTCTAACACATGAAACCTACACAGGAGAAAAAAAATTAATCTTGTCATGGGTATATTGTGGAGCTATGTTAACTCCACAGTTAAGGTTCTGATCCTACAAATTGATCTGTACAAGTGAACCCTTATGCTTACGTGATGTCCCATTGAAGTCAGTGCGGCTCTGCATCAGTACAGGAACTGGCCTGCACGGATCAGATTCACTCAGTTTATATGAAGAGCCTATGGAATGAAGAACTGCTTACATACAAGGACTTTGAATAGAAAGGTTTCTACACAGAATGTCTCACTCAGCCAGGTTGCTTCAGTTGAACTGTGCTTCTGCTGGGTCAGGATTGGTACTAGAACAACAGTACAGGACTCATTGTCTTCTGCAGAACAACTTAAAAACTGGGCACAGATGGACGGGAAAACATGCTGAATTTAAAACTCCAAAACTTGCAAAAATTGCTTGCATTCTTACTCTTATTTGTGCATCTCATCCAGAGCCCGCAACTTTACCTTGTGCATTCATTTTCAGTAAATCCTTCAAGTAATACATCAATTAAATAAGCATTTACTCCAACAAACACCAGTTTGTACAGCAGAAATTTATTAGTCTATATTTATGCTGTAATTATGCTCAAAGACAAAAATAATCACCTAAACTGTGGTCAGGGCTAGACTGATTCCTTTTTCATTCTGAATTACTGATAGTTTATGGCTTTAGACCAGGGGGTTCTCTCAACAACATTTTTGGTGACCTCAGAATGCGGCCACCACCTCTTGCTTATGTCCACTCTGACAAATTTTCCTAAAATACTTCAACTTCAAGAAAAACAAATAAATATGCACATATACATGTCCAAATCATTGTAATTTATTTATGTAGGTTTTTTTGCAGACTCAATAATAAAAATAATGGACAATTGTATTTTGGTGTCCCCAGTCCCTGCTGTCTCCCCTGGCCCTCCATCATCTTCCTGGGCTCACCATCACCCTCCTGGGCCTGCTGCCTCCCCCACGCCCATTGCCCCGAGTTCCCTTCCGTAGCCTTGCACCCCAGGCTCACGCTGCTCCTTGGCTCTTGATCATCGCCTGGCTGAAATCCAGAGCCGGATCCCTGTGGGGGTGGAAGGGAGACTGAAGCCTGCCCCTGAAGTCCCATGGCTGCTGGGTGGGGGAGGGGAGTGCTGAAGCCCACCCCCCAGAGCCCCTTGGTGCTGCAGGGAGGGATTGCTGCTTTTCCCCCTCCCCCATCTCTGCCCAGGAGGCTGTCATGGCTGCAGGAAAATCCCCTTGTGGCTGCATTTGAGAAATGCTGCTTTAGACATTGGCAGACTTTGGCATTTATGTAGTGTATAGCTGAATGAGCTCCAGCCAGAGTAATTTAAAATGTAAATTTCCTCACTCTCCATGCCACAAAGAATAAAATTTCTTTTCTAAGAACAAAATGGTTATGGGTTTTTTGGACATTAAAGCTGCTGGGAACCTTCTATGCTCTACACTATGCAACCAAAAAAAAAAAAATCAAATACACGTGAGCTGGCTAACACATAGCTCAGCCACTTATTACTGGATACTAGTACATGTTTTGTATTTGCTCTAAAGAATGCTACACATGAAATAGCTGATTTCAGGAGGAATGGCAGTGTTTCAAGTTATAGTGCCCTTTAATATGCATTTTTGTTTTAGTATTTTAAAACCCGTGTTCCCTAAAAAATAAGTTTGAAAATATGCAGCAGTGCAGCAAAGATTAAGCTTATGCTCAACTGTGTGAAAGGACGTACTGAACAAAAATGGCCCCCAACACAGTAATGGTCTTTGACAAACCTTTTTCAGGGTTTTGTTTGTTTTGTTTTGTTTTATTAACCACCAGTGTGTGGTACTAATGGTAAAGTTGTGTCTGTTCAATTGTGAGCAAATTATCTCCTATAGAGTTCTGCTGGAAGACTTATTTTGAAAAATAATTCTAATATTTGTCCTTTTTCATACACAATGAGGCTGTGTTGTGTTCTGGGAACGAGATAAAGATAGCAAGGCAAAAACAACACAAGAGGCTCAGGAAGTGAGGGAATTGCAACCTGCATTACAGGCAAAATGACCCCTGTAGGGCTGCAAATGGTTGTGTTAGATTTAAAGAGTCAGATACTAGTAGAGCATATTGGGATGATTGTGAGCCAAGCCATCATGAAAAAAGGAGCTTTTGGGCACATGGGCTGAATTTCCACATTTCTGAAGGTCAGTGATGTAGATCAGTCTGCGATTTCTAGAACTGGAGCATACGGTGCTGTTTGAGTTTTTTTGTCTATGATATCATGTTGATATAATAAATATTCAGATCCCTCAGTTGTTTCTGTGATTGATGTTTATCACCATATTTTCATGTTAGTTATAGATTATGGAAACAACCAAATAGGAAGGATGTATTTATGTGGATAATAAATAATTGAACTAATCAACGACTGTTTTGGCTTTTAGTTATAGTTTCAGTTACAGACCTCAACATGTTTTCAAGTGTGTGGAACATGTAAATTGCATGTCACTGGAGCAAAATATTATGTTCTGAGTCTGTAAATCTACATTTACAGAACATATTCTGTTTAAATTCCATAAACTGCATAATTTGGGGACAATGTTGACCATTATATCACAATAGGGTTGTGTCCTGTATTGGAAGTAGTGTCAAAGCTATCCATATGGGTCCACCTAACAGTCAGGATTTACTCCATTGATTTCTCCAAAATATTTAGCCTCCACAAAACGATGATAGGTTTAGAGCTGCTGTAGTTAGAGATTTCTGAATATTTATAAATATTGAGAGGTTTTTCCCCAGGTGGTTATTAGTCTGATTATTTGGAAGGTTCTTACATATTAAGTGTAAATATTCCTGTGAGTGGGTTACTTGTACTTTAACCATGTGGAAAACCAAGAGGTAGGGATACATCTTGGTAAAACTAGAAAATGTGGAAGATTTATTTCCAGATGTGCCTTTTTGGCCTTTATTGAGGGTGTGAAACAAACCTATTAGTTGACCCTTTTTTGGTGTTAGAGTGTCCTGAATTATATCTGTTGTATTCCAAATGCAGTCTTGCTACTGCTTCAGGCCCAGATCCTCCAAACTGATCCACAGGGAATCCACTTGCATGCTGCATATGGAAGGATTATAGAGAAGGACTCTGATGCTGCATGATATAGTACCTCTCCAAATGCAGCTCAAATTGGCATTAGCTTTTCTGACTGTATTGCAAGGCTATATGTAATTTGTCTGTTATATTATTCTAGTTCTTTTTAAAAAATCAACAGCTTTTTAGGACCCTTCCTTTCCATTAAATATCTATCAAGTGCATTATATTTTCCTTGATGCCTTATCTTCCATTTTCCCAGGCAAATTCTCATTTCAGTTCACTATATTTTTATTATTGCTAATCTATCTTAGTGGCTGTCCTTTTTCCTTTAGTGTGACAGGTGAAAGGAAAAAAAAAATCTTTTACCTGTTAAATTGAAGAAGCATGTCTACCAATCCCGGCCTTCCCTGCAAGACTTCCAAAATAAGAAGAATGTGATTTAAATAAAAAAAACTATTTTCCTTTCAATAAAACTATATATTAATATATAATTCATGTTAGTTATTGCTTTGTAAATATTTGTCTAGAAAGAAATCTCAGGGACTGTTCTTCCTTCTCTTGAGCAATCCCAGACAGATCATTTTGAAACTACTTCTAGTTCACAGAAGAGAAAGATATCAAACACCTTAGTGTAATACAGTGGTGGACATGCTGCTTCAGAGAAAAGAAGTTAACAGGTAATTTTTTTGTTTCTAGTTAAAATATTTCTTCTACTGTATACATTTGCATCTGTGATCCGAATTCACATACTGTTCTCAGAGCTACATTAAGACACGTGTAGAGAAGCAGGTTTTTGGATGTTAGAGACTAACTTAATATTTTGCTTAACAGGTTACATGTCTTGCGTGTGACAATAAATCAAATACTATAGAATCGTTCTGGGATCTGTCGCTGGAATTTCCTGAGAGGTATCATTGCAATGGGAAGGAGATGACTTCTCAGTATCCATGCCTGCTGACAGAAATGTTGGCCAAGTTTACAGAGACGGAAGCTTTAGAAGGAAAGATATATGCGTGTGATCAGTGCAACAGTGAGTAAAGGCAGTATGTACTCATGCATATGTTCTCCACATAAAATATAAATTAATATAGGCATTAAAAGTGTAAGAAAAGGAAAACCGCAATTAAAAGGAAAGCAAGACAAATTTTAAAAAAATCTGTCATAAGTAAAGCATAAGACTGTTTCTTTAATTGTGAAAGGAAATAGTATAGAAAAATCGCTCTTCTAATTAAGTGCATCAAAAGTAGGCTTGAAAGTGGGTTTAGGAGTTCAGATTAGGTCATCATACCAACTACTGTTTTTCATTAGAAGGTAGTCTCCAAGAAGAGATGAAAGAAACCTGTTGAAATAAGTCTTGACACTTTATTAAATTAACAGACTGTCCGCATTTGCTCCTGATGAAAATAGCTGAAGTATTTGTATATTTTCCAACATTCAGATGAATAATCCAGATAAAAATAGAGGCAAAAAAGAGGCATTTTGCATGCCCAATAATCATAAAATAATCCTTGCCAAATGGATTCCAAAATGCTTTCTTATTAAACTGACAATATAGTCATATATTCAGTAGTCCTTGTTACATTATCTAAATACTCTAAATCATGGGGTCAGTAAATCTTAAAATGAAACAAGCATATTTGACAATGAATTTTCAAGCTGTATTCAAGGGGTTTTTTTGTTAGTGGTAGTTTTTTTAAATTTAGCACTTATTTCATTGTGTGTGTTTGGTCACAGCAAAACGTAGGAAATTTTCTTCCAAACCAGTTATACTTACAGAAGCCCAGAAACAGCTTATGGTGTGTCGACTACCTCAAGTTCTGAGACTACACCTTAAACGGTTCAGGTAAGCAGTGCTATAAGCAACTTAGAAATGTTGCAAACTCTCTTTGAATAGTATATTCCTCCTTGTTCCAGTAGTCACTAATTCTCTGGGCTCATTCAGTGGGTGAACAAAATCAGTTTTTGAGAAATCCCTCTAAATTGTCTTCCTTGAGAATACCCATAAGCTCAATAGTATAAGGAAAAACAATTTCTGGAAACCCATTTCTTCCTGGTAAATAAAATATTGTTAGAATGCATCTCACAGGCAGAGAAGTGAGATTTTTATTCCTGCTACTTCCCAATAACAGAAGTCGGGAGAATTAAAAACCTATCCTGAATCTTGAACACTTATGTAGTTTGAGACAAAAGAATCAATTTTCTCTATTTGAAAAAGAGACTTTTGTGGATACCTGTATGTACAGAGAAAAAAATCTGTCTCATGAAGTATCTCTGCTATCTTGAGAAAACAACAGCCTACAGTTCATTGTTTTGAGTTGTGGACAAACAGTACCATGCGACTTTACTAAATATGTTGAGAGATCATAGCAACCAACTTTATTTAAAATAGAGGATTGCGTTAGTGACTAGTGCACGGTCTGAGGTTTGCATGCAACCCACCAGGGTGATTGTATAACCTGCAGCTTTACTAGCATTTTTTAACCCCCCCTATCTAAATCTGGTAACGTGTGCTAACGTGAGCAGCCAGGGAGAAGAGACTGCACCTGTACGTGATCTTAGTCCAGCCAGAGGGACAGAGTGACTCCTGAATGAGGAGATAAATGAGTGGGAACCAGCCCCTGGGGTGATCTGTTTTCACTTTTAATGTATAGAGTCAAATCTGTAATAAAGAAGTCTCTGCAGCTTCTGCATCATTCTTGTGATTTTAAATATTTTTTGATAATTATATCCAGTGTCTTTTCAGCTTGGATGACTAGTGAGCACGCGAGAGCAGGCAAATGTGAGGAGGAATATTTTGGAGGCTGAGAGCAGCAGATAGTGTAGGTGAAAAGCCATATATAAAAGATTTTTCCCTATGAACGTTGACATGTAGGGGAAGTGAAAGAGGAGATTAGTTATGGGGGAGCTTTTGAGGGATATAAATTAGCAAACATTTAGTACAGAAGCACTAGCAGGTCAGACGGTTCAGTAGCTCAGAATTCTAACCGTGCAGAATTTATATGTGCATAGATTCACTGAAATAAACTATTAAACTATCTTCAGAAAACACCAATCAACTGAATAATATTCACATTTTCTTTTAATTTTTATATTTTTCCAGGTGGTCAGGACGCAATCATCGTGAGAAGATTGGAGTACATGTTAGCTTTGATCAGATATTAAATATGGAGCCTTATTGCTGCCGGGAATCCCTAAAGTCCCTCTTACCTGATTGCTTTATCTATGACTTGTCTGCTGTGATTATGCATCATGGGAAAGGATTCGGTTCAGGGCACTACACTGCCTACTGCTATAATTCAGAAGGAGGTATGGACAAGCAATTTAAATTAGAAATGTTGTTTTTGTTACCCAGAATCTGCACTTCTGGTTCCTTAGCTGAATCAATGTAGCCACAAACAGGATCCTTACTTTCTTAAAATAAAATGGACCAAGATTTTACTAACCAGACTAACCAGTGCCGAAAGAATTATAACAATATAGGTGGTCAATAAAATTAAAGCTAATAGTTTCAATTTATGAGCATTTTTTTTCCTGATGATTAGACAAATATAATCAGGTTGGTGTATACAGCAGAAACATTCCTTATAAAATATGTGATAGACAATTGTTTCTCTGTAAAACTAAGTGTTTATTCACCCAAAATGAAAAGACAAAATTAGTGAATGTTTGTGGTTGTGTGTTTTTAACAAACGGTAGCAGACACTTGTCACCTGTAAAGTACAAGTATTTTACATAAATATTTTGGTTATTTTACAATGGTCTTACTTCATTTTAGGATTCTGGGCACACTGCAATGATTCCATACTCAACATATGCACTATGGAAGAAGTATGCAAGGCTCAAGCCTACATCTTGTTTTACAGCCAGCGAGTTACTCAGGCAAACAGACACTGTAGAATATCATTTCCGAGCTCACCATCTGAAAACCAGCAGCGTACTGAATTTGTCGACTGTTCAAGTGAAAACAGTAGCAGCTAATCCAAAGCCAATTTACTGTGTACAGTAAAAGTTTGACTTGTCAACTTATGCGTATTTTTAAAGAGAAAATGCAAGTATAAATTGTATTTTTTTACTTGTGAATCAATGTACATTATGTTTATACACTTTTGTATTAGCTAAAGTAAGCACTCTTAAGTGTTAGTATAAATTTATATTGATAGTAGGTAACTTTCAAAGTACCTAGAATTGTTTTACAACTTTTTAAAAAAAATTTCCCTTTTGAATTTTTAATTCTTACCTCAGGCTGTTTTTCAGCTGTTTATATTTTGATAATCTGATTTGGTTTAGAAAAAAATATTCTCAATGGACAGCTGATGTCTGTATAATTTTTGTTAACTTTCTACATGTGTAAATTTTTATAGTATAATTTTATAGCCTATATTGATTCTGTCTGTGGGAATCAGTCTTATTCTTCACAGAATATGAAGGTGCACTAACAAAGAAAGCATCTATTAAATGTCAAGTAATAACAGAACTTTTCTTCATTGGGGTAGGGATTTTTTTCCTGGATGTCCTTCACGTGATAGATAAGAAGCTAGGCTCAGATCTACAAAACTGGTACTGAACCCTGCCCATGTTTCAGCCTTTGAACATGCATACAGGTGTGTCCATGTGCTGCCTAAGCCCCAGAGCAATTCACAAACTAAGAATGAGGGGCATTTGGCTGCCTAAATTGCATGGTCAGAGGCTACCTACCAGATTCAAAAATGGGAGGGGGAGAGAGAGGGAAGAAAGGAGAGAAGGTGGTAGTGCCCACCTTATAACTTGTAACCTAGGGGTTAGAGCACTTGTGAGATGGGAGAGACCCCGGCTCAGTCCTCTGTTCTGCCTGAGGAGGAGAAGGGATGTGAACAGGAGTTTCCTACCTTCCAACTGCTCTAACCACAGAGCTGTGGGATTATGTGATGGAGCCGCTCCCTTATTCTCTCCTGTTATTGTTCCACTACGTGTAAATAAGGAAAGAATGACTGGAGCAGGAGGACTGGACTGGACCCACAGTCTCCCAGCTCGATGCCCTAACTCCTGGTCTACAACCTCATTCCCATTCTCAGTGGCTGATCCAGCCAATGATTGTTCCACTGTGGATAAATATTGGGAGAGAGGGAGGGAATTGAACTTGGGTTGCTCACATCCCAGACAAACGCCCTAACCACCTAAAACTTTAAGGTAGCTACCACCAGCAGCAGCGGTTTTGTGTGGAGGGAGGCAGGCACCTAACTCATTTCCCTCAAGAAGTTGCTTAGGCACCTAAGCCAGCTGCCTCCAGGCAGCAAGTTCCCCTTTGTGGATTGCAAAGCAGTGCCTATCTAAGAGGAGAGGTGCTTAGTATACACCCATCTGGTCAGCAGCTCCCAGGGACTAGCTCCCTATCTACCCTGCTGGCTTTTGTGGATCTGTGTTGTGACTTTCTCGGTACCTAACCCTTAGGCATTGTAATGCTCAGCATTGCCACAGCCAAGTGCCTTTGTGGCTCCCACCCTTAGTCACTGTTTTCCCGCAGTGGTGCCGATGGAGCTATACTGAAAGGAAAAAAATATATAGTGTTTTATTTGTGAAGTGTCCAGAGGAAAACAATAGTATATGTGCTTAGTTACATGTCAGTGTATTAGTGATAGAAAAATTTAATAGAACAGAAATGATGGCTAGGAGATAAAACATGAAGGTTACCTATTTTACATGCACCCTTTTACAAGTGAGATGCTAACCTAAAGTTTTAATTGGGTTGCTAAACTATGGGGGAAATTCCTTAGTTACCAAAAAGATTTATCTTGCCAAACAGTGTACAAAGATACTGAAAAAAGTGAGCCTAGTTCCTTGGAAAGGTAGCAGTCCTTCAGTAATCTCTAGCACACATTAATAAAGCACCATAATTAACTAAGCAAAACAGGTTGCATAAAACACAACTAGAGAATATTTAAATGTGGATGTGCTGTAGGAGCTACACCTGCCATACTTACTCCTCCATTATTTCTAAACTAGTATTAACAGAGAATTCACCTCTTCCTCATTGCCTAAAAAACAGAACATTTCCCCACCAATTGTAGCTAATGCCAAAATTGTAATGATTAGTTTAAGTTGGTGTGAAGTATTTTTTTCATAAAAACGTATGCAGATTACCTCAGCTCTTGGAAAATTATACCTCAATAAAACACTGTGTGGACTAACATTTTTTACTAGGGTTAGTTCCTTATCTCCTTGATTGATATTCTAACATGTTGCTATTATAAAATAGTTCTTTATCTTCAAAAACCATACAAAACATGTAGAAAGTTACTCTTTATTACAATATCTTGAATATGAATCTATAGATTAGGCCCTAGTGCAATATTTCATGTTTTTTCACTCTATAGTCCCTTATCTGGAAACAGTTAACTGCTTACAAGTTTTACACTGATCTTTCAGGGGCTACAGCTGATACTTTTGATGTAAGAGTTTTATATTGCTATTTACCACTGAAGTAACTGAGCATCTTCCACATAAAATTGATTGTCATGGAGTCTTTGGTTCTCCTGCCTATTGGTGTTGAGCTTTCCCCACCCATTTGAGAGCTTTGGGCTTTTAGATATTTCCTCTAAATATCAGAGGCAGTTTGGGGAATGGTCAAGAGCTGTGGATATCTATCTACCAGGTCTCTGCCTGTTATGGTGCAAACAAAATGGCAGTTTAGCACTTCATCGGTTTTAGGGTTTGGTGTTATTTTGGGGGATCCCAGCAAGCAAGAATCTCTCCTCCCCTTTTTATGGGAGGGGAGCCACAGTCAGAGCTCTGTGCCACAAACAGAACCAACCACCTCTCAATCTCCCTCTGTGCTCCACACCCACATAAAATCAGGTAGGCCAAATGGCTCTTGGCTTTTTTGCTTGCTCTGTCTTTAAGACAACCTTAAAAGGAATTCTGCCACAACCTACAGACCAATATTTTGCCAGAAGAAAAGCCTCACTGGAGCCTACACAAATGAGCCCCAATAGAGAAACTTCAGCCCAGTGCAGGTTCGTCCTCTCCAGCTATTGGGGCTCCAAATTCTCCAGGGTTAAGTCCCCAGTCCACCTCAGCCCTTCGGGTTCTTAAATGGGTAATCAAATGATTGTCATTCTTTCCAACTCTCCCTTCCAAGAGGAAAACTCAGGCCTCTTTAGGGATTTTCCTTTGCAGTTCTTCCCCAATTATGTATCAGGCTTCCCCCTCCCCAATCCCAAAGTGCTGATAACAGATCCAAAAGGAAACACCAACCAAGAAAACCCATCCACCCTAAAAGGCAAGAGAAAAAACAACAATGCTAGAGATATAGGATAGGAGAGGGGTTCCACACAGTGCTTGTGACTTCTGCTTAGTTTCTCCCTAAAGGATGGGGAACTCTTGCTTTTGGATCACAATACAACCAGATCAAAGGAGCAGATGCTCTTTCCCACAGGGAGGAAAGTTGTGTCCATGACTGAAATCCAGCCAGAGGAAGAGGATGAGTAATCTAAAGTCAAGGTTAACAATTAAAAAACAAAAACCAGAATTTGCCACTTCATTTTTTAATGATTTGTCTCCTTTCATCTTAAATACTATGGAGCCTCAAAGAATCTGAATCCTTCAATTCCACGGCAACCACCTGGACAGAAAAGACATATAGCCACATAGGAAGTCTGTAAAGCTACCACCTGCTCATTCATCATCAACAACTTAGTAAATCAGTACAGGCATGACCTTCAATCCTCAACAGTAACATCCTTTTGCAAAATGATGTTCCAAGTACTCCCAAAATAGACTACTAGTAGTTTTAGGGGAGGGAGAACCCTTACTGCTCAATACATCTCAACCATGTTGTGCTGTGAGAGGCTTTAGGATCCAGAATGGAAAATTTTCTTTCCCAACTGCCTTTCAGGGACAGACTTTTGCAGTAATCAACTCCCCTGACAAATCTTTCAGTCTTTTTGTTTTTTTTAAATAAAGCGAAGGGAGTTAGTCACATAACAAGCGCCGTGTAAGTGCTGGGCTTCACAGATTTACCTATACGTTAAAGCTAACTAAAGTTACTTGCAGAAGCTTTTTAGGTTTTTTAATAAGAATTTAATGTTACAGTACTAATTGGGAGGTATTCATCTTGCGTGTGGCCAAGCCCCAGAACCATTTGGATAAGTCTGAACTGCCTCCTATACTGCAGGGAGACAAGTGTAAAGGGCTGGTCTACTCTCAGATTCTGCACTGATTTAGCTACAGTGTATCTTAAAAATGGATTCTAGACATTACTTTTGCACACAATGTCAACTTGAAAATCTGTTCTTTTCTGAATGACTGGAGCCTTGCAGAACTGTCAAACGTGCCAGCACTGTACAAAATCTACTTGGTTACCTTTTATCTTCAATCTTAAGGCTGGTGGTTTGTCATGGCAAAAAGTCACAATTTTAGCTGCAGAAATCCTAAAAAAGAATCACAGCACACTTTTTTCCAAGCGAATGAAGAGTTTTTACTTTTAAAAATGTACTGAAACATTTCAATTATAAAACAAACAAAAAGGTGCCTCAAATTCATGTAGGAAAAATCCATAATAGAATATTGAAAAAAATTCTTATAAAAGTGATATTAGGTCTTGCCTAAAGTATGTTATGCATTCCTAAATTACATGGTTTTATAGCTCACCTGTCTTCACTGAACACATTTACATATGAAGAAAATGAACATTCTGCAGAAGCACTATTTTGTGACAGGAAGAGAGCACTTTTCATTTTTAAGGAAAGCTAGAAGATGCTCCACAAAATACTGAGTAGCAATGACATTTTTAAATTGCAAAAGCCATGACAAACTTTGATTAACCATAAAGATAACCTAGTTTTTTTCCCTGACATACAAAAAATATCTGAAGCAGCCAGGGTTTGGCAGTTTCTTTAACTCCAACCACCACCTGTATAAACCAGACTAAAGAATTCCAGTAATTTTTACAAATCACAGCATTAAAAAGTTTTTCTTAACTCTTTTCAACTTTTTGTACCTCTCTTGGATTTTGAATAGTTTTCCATACTGGAGGTAGTACTACTACAAGATCAAGTTGAAGATTTATAGTGAAGAACTGCTGTTCTGCTAAAGAATTAACTACTTTGTGGTTACTTCACTTTGAAGTTTAATCTTTTTTAAAAGGCACACTAGCACATGCCTAAAATATATTCACTTAAGATACATGCTACAGTACGAGTCAGGTTGCTACATACCTCAGGCTCAGGGAAGCCAGAGTGCTAAAACTGCTACATTAAGCATCAAGCGATATAATCTGCAGTAAAAAGAAGTGTGCCATTTACTACTGCTCTTTATTGAGTACAAAGTTATTTCAAAAAAGTGGCCCCCTGCCTCCCAATAGAAATATCAGCCGCAGCCTTCAGCAAGAGCTAAAATGTTATGTGACAGAAGGTTGACATGTGAGCTGCAAGTCTCCAAGGAAATTTTAGGTCAACTACGAGACTCTTTGAAAGTGTCAGATTTCACCACCCTTACTCAAGTTGAGTAGTACCGTGAGTATCTGCAAGTATCCCACTGGTTTCAATAGGAATACTCCCAAAATAAGGACTATTCAACCTAGTGGCAGACTCTGGCCTTTAGATTGGAAGCTCTTTTGGTCAAGAGCTGTCTGTGTATTCTGTGAAGTGACAGAAAATTACTGAACCGTAGATGCAAGGCCTTCAAAAGACAACTTTCTGTGTAATTAGGTCCTGCTAATTAGACAGTTTGCATCCAGCAGTTCTATGGTTCCAAAATGTGTTTAAGCAGGAAGCATTCTACTCAAGCCTCCAAGCACTCTATAATCCTTGTGCCTGCCATGTTCCCCAGGCAAAACTGCCTAATAAAACAGGAAGTGCCTTGCCAGTTTTAGTGCCAGCTCCTTGCTAGAGGACGCACAGTAGCGCTAACATCTACCTTCATCACAGTTGTGGTAGGGACTCACATAATGCAGTGCACCATGCTTGTGTTCTGGGCCAAGGAGACTATCAAACAAATTTTGATTCTGCAAAATGCAGTCTTCTCTCCCATGCCTTACTGTCTCAACATTACTGCTGGTTGAAGTAGGCAGCTCAAAAAGCAAGGGTGCAATAACAAAAAGCAGCCATATCTACCCAATATGGGCACAGCTGTGTCCTGCATCAAGAGGACCAGACAAGACAGTCAGGCTTTGGCTACACTGGCGCTGTACAGCGTTGCAACTTGCTGCGCTCAGGGGTGTGAAAAAACACAAGAAATGGGGGAAAACGACCTATGTGGTAAGATTTCAAAGTTGGTTTCATATGCTTTTAATTGTTCTGGAAATGATCCATTAGAGATGCTACAGAAAAAAAGAATGATGTAACCTACATAACCACTACCAGAAGCCATAAGGCTGCCTGCAGAGTCTCAAGCAGAAAATTTGTTGTTGAGAAAGGTATAAGAAAATCAGCTAAAATCAAAAGGCAGATCTACACTTAAAACATTACAGTGGAGCAGCTGCACTGGTGCTGTGCTGCTGTCGCCGTCAGTGAAGACACTAGTATGCCAATGGGAGAGCTTCTCCCGTTGGCATAATTAATCTGCCTCCATGAGAGGCGGTAGCTGTGTTGATGGGAGAAGCCCTCCTGTCAAGACAGCAGTCTACACTGGGGGGGTTAGGTCAGCATAACTGCATAGGTCAGGGGTGTGGATTTTTCACCCCCGAGTGATGTAGTTTTACTGAGCTAAATTTATAGTGCAGATCGGGCAAAAGCCTTTCAGCCCCAACCCTTTCCCCAAATAAGGCAATAAAGTTAGGTACCCACTACTGGTATGTTACTAGTATAAAGGCTAGAAGTCTATAGCACCATTTCTGGTCCTGCCAATACATTTAAAAATCATGATTTAACTGCCTAACACAACCCCACCCATCCCACAGATTTTTTCAAATGCCCGTTTTCACTTCTGCAAGGTACTCAGTACAGTATGGACAGCATTAGCCAGCATAATGCCATCTTGTGATCTAACTTTAAGGTACAAGTTCACAGACACATGCAGATGTTGCTGCCCAGCTGGAAATACCATGCAGGATATATAGACTCCAAAGGGGAAACAGATCAACATGAATTAAGTAAATGAGTTTATTTCATCACCCATTTCTATAAGCAACAAATATAAAGTATGGAAAAATCAGGGATGATTTTGAGGGTCTAGTTTCTTTTCGACTTTAGACATTTTGCCATTTTTTGCTTCCCTCCCTCAAAACAGGGGACGAAGAGCGCTGTAGCTCATACATCGAGTCTTGTGAGATCAATATACAGCTCCCTTTAATCCAAAAAAGAACAAAATATTTAATATTTCTAAAATTAAAAAAAAAACTGAAATAAACCAGAGGCCAGCCATCTTTATATTTTCGTAAAGAGTTCTCTTTTCCCAAAGCAGGTAAGTTTAAGGCACTCATGCTGACTACTATAGAAGCTGGCATATTTGTTACCAGTAACTTTATACAGAATTTTAACACTGAGCCACATAAGTAGGCAGTGATGTTATGCCAACTGCAGTCAAGCTCTAAAAATCCTCATGTTTTAGTAAAACAAACATGAATGAGATTCAGCCAGTTATTGTAGCAGAAAGATAATGATGCCTGTTACATCAAGAAAAGTGTCAGGTATTCCAATTTAGTTTGCTCATCTGGAAGAGGATTCAATTACAGACTAAAGCTAATGTTTTCATCCTCAATACTGTTTCTAAATCTTTATTCTGCCTATCCTGTGGTTTTGAGGAGACAGGAGACTACGATTAGTGAATATTTAATGTCATACAATGGGGCATACAGGTACTAAAGAATCTGAAGAGACATTTTAATATTAAAGGTTGGCGGCAAGCCCAGTGACATTTTAATATTAAAGGTTGGAGGCATTTAGCTGAAGAAGGCATATCAGATGTGCCTCCCTATGGAAAACAGCAGCAAACGAGTCAGTCAAAATGTACTTGCTAGCATGTTCCAAAACAGAAAAACTCAAGACCGGAGAGTGACATGCTCAATGACAAAAAGCCCCAAACACCTTGGCCTGGCTCCCAGCATAGATACTACTGTTAAATAAATGACAGATTGTCAAGTTTCACATAAATGGTAGGACAGGCCCAGTTTCAAGACAATAAATGGCAACTGGATATTTTTTATTATTATTTAATAGAGCAGTTCCCCAGCAGACTCCTGCTCAGAGTCAGAACCAGACTTTTAAAAAGTATATATGTTTTTAAAATCTGAAAATTTGTCTATTTTTTACAAAATGGATTCCAGGAAATTTAAAAGGCAA